AAATAAAACTGTTACAAAATATAAATAATAAAATTCATGATTCTATTTGTTCCTACTTGCTCTACATAGTTTTGACACTGTTTTTTATATGAACTGAGAATTTCTTTTTTCTAGCTTTACACACATCCTTTCATTCTTTATATTCTGAACTCACGTTTGCAAAAACATTTCTTTTTTAGACTCAGAAGAGTCAGAGCTTTTCATGTACAGTACACCCGCAGTAAATAAGCAAGCAAGAAAGCAATTAAAACATAACAAGAGCAAAGTACAAAAGGTAACAAATTTATACAGAAATAGTCTTTTGTTCTGCAGAAATGTGAGCTGTGCAAAATCAGTTTATTTTTGTTGCCATCTTTCCACAAACATTTCCCACCTGATCAACGACCTTTGCAAATATACACAAATTAAAGCATAACTGGGAAAATATGTGTAACACATCCTTAGCTGTAAAAAAATAACCATACAAAAACTATTTCCAAAGGCACTCTCAAAAGCTGCGTGGCAATGTGAAATATAAAAAAATCCACCTTAAGCTGGTAAACAAAACAAGATTAAAATACTGAAATGGCATTAAAATTCATGAGTGATACATGAAAATCAACTAAAAGCTATAATGTTGCTGCACTTCAAACAAGATTTAAAACACTCTCACAGCAACAAGGAGCAAACAAAGCAATAAAATGTAACATGACACCTTCAGGCCACTTCATCCATCACTTTCTCTGTTCAGTCTTTAAATTCAATTTCTTCAATCATAACTTACTTACACCTTTTCTTTTCTTTTTTTTTTTTAAACTTAGCTGCTTCTTTCTACTTATCTTTGGTGACTTGTATGTATGTGGTTGTATGTGAATACGAGAGCTGTGCACTTCTATACTAGATGCTATAACACAGTGAGCTGGGTGGATACAGGTAAGGCTGCCATGCTGGCACTGTGTGCAGAAGTACAGAGGAGAAGGCATCGGTGTGATTAGCAGCAGCAGGATTTGAATGATGACGTTTTCATCGCTGTACTACGGCATCAGCAAGCAGCTATTCTCTCTATTCAGCTTCATCCTTCAGAGTGAACCTGGAAGATGAGGTGGAACAGTCATTGAATGATAGTAAGAGTTCCTGATGGTCAATAAAATGGTCAGATATAATGACCATCAAGCTTGAGCATTTGAATAAATGTAAATACAGTCTGGATGAAACCAGATCTCTTCTGCTCACCATTCTGTGACACCAGACACGAGGTTCACCTCAGCCAACTCGAGCTGCACCTAAAGAATGGGAATGTCATGTCAGCATCTGCATAAACACAGTTTCTGCCTGTATTCACAGCATTTCAGAGTGAAAAGATAAAACACATTTATGGAATGAATGCAATTTACGCAACCAGCTAAGGCACAGTGAGGAGATTGGAGTACATTTTACCCAACCCAATCTCAGTGTGCTGTTTGGCAGTATATTTAAAGCCATGTAACAGATGCAGGAAGAGCTACAAATATGATTTCAGTCTGACCTGTCCAATGACGTCTCGGCTTCTGAATGAAGCGGAGTTATTTTTCACTGATACACTGAGGCGTCTGAATCTTATCTCGTCCTTAGGCAGATCATACTCAAACCTTTAAAAAAGCACAAAAAGATTATTAAGACACTAGGTCAGATCTTTAGGGATAACAAAATCTACAAAGGAGTAAAGAATGTAGTGCAACCTTTCATTAAATTCTGGGTTGAGGTCTCTCTTCTTCACTCCTGTTTTTTTCTTAGTGGCCTTGCTTTTATCTGGCAGCAGCATGAGGGAGACATAGCTGTCCACACCATCCTTATGTTGCGACAACAGACCTCTGTG